GAATCACTAGCAAAGTGGTTGAAAACATGGACTTCAGCATGGCCCAGACCTAGTGCAAATTTGCTTTTAAATGTGTGACTTGTAACAATGCACTTAACTTGCCTGATCCTTGGTTTCTTCTTTTATAAAAGGGGAGCAGTAGTCCCCCGTGTATAGGGTTGTCGGAAGGATAAAGTTGTTGAGTGCATATAAAGGGTTGAGCCCAATGACTCCACAGAGGAGAAACCCTTTAAATAATAGTATCCATTGATCATTGTAGTACCTTTTGTCATCTGTAGAACTGTATTCTGGAAGCCACATAGCACAGTGGGTACATACCTGCATCAGACAGGTAGACCTGGCCATGGCAGTATTCTTTGACAGATCACTTCATTTCTCTGAACCTCCATTTTCCCATCTCTTAAGCAGTGGAGAGCAGTGCTTGTATCACAGGGTTATGAGAAATGAACGAAAACATGCAAAATATTTGCACAAGGACTGGCCTGTATCAGGTGTTCCGTGAAAGGGGGTGTGATACTCAGACATCTTATCTCGTAGTCTGCTCTTCCGCCAGCACAAGAACCAGGTTAGGGCTGATGAGATTTGAAGCCATCCCAGGGCATGGCAGAGACCTAAATCTCATACCAGTTTTTATTTGTCCTAATGTGCCTTGAAGAAGCTATTTTTTTCTTTACTCTGTTCTCCTTCCTCTTTTTCTTATTTTTCTACCTCTTTGGGAACTTCCTTTACTCCCTCCTAGCTTGAGGATGGATAGAGTTGGTTGTGGGGGTTGCCGAAGGTAAAGATTATAGTTGTGGTCTTTTTGGTCAGGGGTCTGATGGCCGTAAAGTGGGAAGGAAAGTGTCCTCGTTCAGGCTGCTATGACAGAGTGCCGTAGACTGGGTAGCTTTTAAACAACAGAAGTGTATTCCTCACAGTCCTGGAGTCTGAAGTCCAAGATCAAGGCACTGCAGATTCAGTGTCTGTTGAGAGGCTCCTTGCTGGTTAATAGACACCTGTTTTCTTGTTATAACCCCATATGGCTGAGAGGACAGGAGATCTCTCCTTCTGGTCTCTTTCATAAGGGCACTAGATACCTTCTGAATGGTATTGGGGGTTAAGATCTCAACTTACGAATTTGGGGAAAAGACAAAGATTCAGTCCATAGCAGAAAGGGCATTTTTTTCCTTTAACAAATGCAAGAATGATCCTAGATCATTAACAATCATCCTAGAATTAGGATGATGAAATAAATCTCCTAGAGAGAATAAATATCCTGGCATTACTGAGAAACATCCCTGGATAGTTGAATTGACTTATGTAAAATCAGTTGATGAGAGTTACCATTTTCCTGCCTAAGACTTTACTTAAACAGAATATTAATAGAAAAAATAAGACCATGAAAAACTATTTTTCTGGGTCAAAATTACACCAGAGTAGAATAGACATACACAATTTTGAGGGATCTTTGATGAGTTGGACTTCATGGAATCAATTTCATTTTAGATCAAGATTAGACATGGGTGTGTGTGTGTGTGTGTGTGTAGCCATATGGGTACATAGGTGTGGGTGGCTGGGTGTGTAGCCAGATGGGTAAGCAGTCCCCATCCCACTCCACCCCTTACAGCTTTATCTCTTGCCCTGCCATCCCTCAGTGCAGTCTCCCGCCTCCATGTCTTCTATCATCTGGCTCTGGCTTTCATATAAGATTCTCTTCCAGAAAATATCTGGTGGCATATTGTCTTCTCTGGATTTGAAAGTCTTTTTTCTTGAACCATTATCCCTTTGGAGACCAGTCATTGTCATCTATGGAGAACACAGAATGGTTAGTGACTAGGGACCGCTAAGTAGTCAGGACTCGGGCTGTTCAGATACAGCTCTGACCTTAACTAGCTGAGCAAGCTCTAATCATAGCTGATATACGATGTTGTGTTAGTTTCAGGTATACAGCAAAGTGATTCAGTTATATATATGTATATATTCTTTTTCAGATTCTTTGCCATTATGGGTTATCACAAGGTATTGAATATAGTTCCCTGTGCTACACAGTAGGCCCTGGTTGGTTATCTGTTTTATGTGTGATAGTGTATATATGTTAATCCCAAACTCCTAATTTATCTGTCCCCCACCCTTTCCTCTTTGGCAACCATAATTTTGTTTTTCATGTCTGCGAGTCTGTTTCTGAGGAGTGCAATAAATTGTTTCTCATCTTCTTTGGGCATCACATTATTTATCTATAAATGAAAGAGGCTAGACCACATGATCTCTCAAGGACCCTTCCAGCTCTAAATTCTGTGATTATATTCTAAATGTTAGGACAATGCAGTGCTTACTGGCACCACCATTAATGGAATTACCCATCATTTATCTTCTAAAGGAAAAATAAAAATAGCAACAGAGCAGCCAAGCTTAAAAATGAGAGTATGTGGATTTCTATCACACCTGCAGTTCTCCAGTGATGCTTGTGAATGTGAATGTCTTCTAAAAAAAAAAAATCCTGCCTGTCCTGGGATGAGCTGACCTGCTTTTTTGTTTTGGACTTGGATGCAGCAAACGTGTCCTACTTCAATGTAGTTCCACATGCTGGAGACTTGGAAGTAGCTGAAAATAAAAGTTCTCGCTTAATATTCATTGGTGAGAGATTATTTTAGGTTTTAAAAAAGTGTTTTTCCTACATCTCCCTGTCTCTTATTTACCTCTTCACTTGCCCCGTACTTCACAGAGAAGGTTCCCAGTAGGATCTCGCTCAGAGTTCGTTCCCTCGGTGCTAGAAGTACCCGTTAAGTTTTCATCTCTCTTTCTTCTTCCTCTGCTAGAGGATGAGGTGTCCTGCCAAAGTGAGCTTCTCCAGGTCCAGCACTAGACCTCGTTTCCTGTTAGCAGAGCTGGGATCCGGCTCCAACTCTCCTGCTCCCTCCTCCTCTTTAAAAACCACACGCTGGTTTCCAGTCCTCCTAAAAAGATGCGCAGTGACCCTCCCAACTGCCTTCGCAAGGTGCAGCCCAGTCGTCCTCCTTACATTAAGCACCACGAGAGAACAGAATGATTGCTGGAGTAAAGTGTCTCACTTCACTTGACACAGCCATTATGGTTGTCTCACCGTGAGATAAGGGAAGTGAAGTGTTTCCTGTCTTGTTTGGCCTTTCCTGTAAAGCTCATTTCCAATTTCTCTCTGAATTGGGGTAAAGGTTAAGTGGAGTGGGAAAACACGTGGAAGGGAGAGGACGTTAGGCTCTGTCGAGGCGGTGCATGCAGACACTTTACAGCTGGATGCTACCCCCTTTTCATCCCCTCAGGCCCATCCCCTCGCCCTGCCATCTCAGCTCTGTTCATTGAACAGCGTACACTCCTTTGGGTGGCCTCCAGCACCTGCGTGGCCAACACCCTGTCCAGTGGGAAGCATGTGCAGTGCGTCCCCACGAAGGCAGCAGCTCGGCCGAGCAGCTTTCCCCACTCCCCCTCTCCCCGCTGTCAGCAGAGGGACTTCCTCAGACCATCTGCTGCTGCATTAGTCAAGTTTATCAACTTGTCCACAGGGCTGCTCTCCCCAAAGCTGTCTGGCTGGTCCTATTGTTCATTGTACGTCTGTTTTTCTCATTTCTTCAGGAAGTCTCTCTTTTTTTCCCTTTTACATTTCATTCTGTTAATTTGACCATGGATCCCAGATACTTCTAACTGCAAAAACTCTTGAGTATTTCCCTTTGCCTGTTTTAGTGTTGCACAACTGTAGTCTAGAGACAGATAACAAACGGAGAACGAGCAGAAAAACTGAAGATCCACGGTTCGTGAAACTTGAACTTAAGTCTGTTTAGCTCTAACTTCCTTTGTGACCTGAGCCAAGTTACATCACTTGCCTGCCTCAGTGTCATTATTTGTAAAGAAAAAGGCAAGAGTAAAAGCATTAATCTGCTTAACTTCTTGAGTTCTGTGGGAACGAGAGATAATCTATGGAAAAACTGTTCTGCACACCCACTGGTATTTCTGTTAAGTTTATTAGCAGCAGTGCTGGCATCGTAACGTTCCTAACACTGCATCTGTGCCGCACAGCGAGAACTCTCCACCCTCGTGTAAAACAGGTATGTCGCGTGTGCCTAAGCTGACTGTCAGTGTTTGCAGCGTTTTTTCCTTCCAGGCTGCGTGCTGGCAGTCACGCTGTGCTCCCCTCCAGTTCTTCTGTAGGCAGGGCTGGCATCAGTTTGCTTAGTTACTGCTTCAGATGCCAGCTTGGGAGAGACTTCTAGCTGAAGATGACTAGTGTCTAGCAGTGATTTAGACTAGAATCCAGGCCACGCATCTGCAAGCCCAGGTTCTGTGTGCTCTGTGCTATATGGTGTTCCTTCCTGCACGTGCTGGTGAAAGTACTCATCGGTCAGAGCCTCTGCACAAAACAGTCCCCTCTGCCAAGTGTTCCTGCCAGACGGCATCATAGCAGGTTGGTCCTGCATCACATACCTCTGTGTTCTTTTGCCAACTAGCAACTTTTTGGTTGCGTTAGAGAACATTACGTGAGATTTTTTTTTTTTCTCAGCACTGTTCAGTAGAGCTAGCAACGATATCTGGGAGACACGTTTCTCCTGTCAAGCACGCAACCTTTAAGCATGATCTCTCTCTGTGCCTGAAAATGCAAGCCCACGTTTCCAGCGATATGACCACTTCCTTTTGCCTCCAAATCCCCTTTCCTTGAGTCAGCAGTGTGGTCACTGCCAGAGCAAATGGCAGAATCAGGCTAGGCTGGCTTATTTAGCAGAGATTTAGGTAAGACACCTTATACAAATGTTTAAATTACTGCAGTTCAAGACTCTAAGATTTCTGAAATACACTTTCACACAGTTCATTATTGTTAGTATTTGTGACAATTTGAGGAAGTCCAGGGCCTTTTGCTGCCATAGAAAATAAATCCTTGCTAATAGCTGAATTTAGTTTTTCTTTTTTTCATTTTAAACTTGACCTTTTCCCTGAAACAGCCACATGTCATCACCATGCTTTTCTCCTTTTAACACTTTTTTTTTCCTCTGCCCTAGGATGGCCGTCTGCGGATGAATGACCAGCTGATTGCAGTTAATGGGGAATCTCTTTTGGGAAAGTCTAACCACGAAGCTATGGAAACACTCCGGCGATCAATGTCCATGGAAGGGAACATACGAGGGATGATCCAGTTGGTGATTCTGAGGAGGCCAGAGAGACCAGTGGAGGTAATGCAAATCGTCATTTCCCCCAGCAGAGTGCCCAGACGGCCACCAGAACATGGCAGCTTCCATCACTAGTGCAGTAGCTAGACTCATCCGGATTCTGAAATTGGAAAAATATGCCCAAGGGGTGCTCAGATGAATATCTGTGGCAAGCAGGTGGTTGTGTATTTTAGGTATAACTAGAAGGTATAAAAATGTGCATATAAATGCAGTAATTTATCCAGTGCAACAAGTCCATATATTCTAGTTCTTCCCCCCAGAAATTTCTAGAGCTCTGGACTTCATGAACAGGTCTTACTTACATAGCAAAGCATTAAAACATAGAACATGTTATATATTTTTTGAGTGATGTGCTAACAGTGTCCATACTCTAGAAAGTTTTTAACCAGATGTGTACAGTTCTTAATGTGCAGGTCATTATAATGTAATTAGTGTTCTCTGTTTGCCCCCATGATGTATACCTGGGTAATATAGATCTAGGACTTAAAACTGATTTAAAATTTGATCTGTTAAGCAAACTTTACCTTTCATTTTATTAAATAAATGTTTTTAAATAGTTTTGCAATCTTTTATTGTGTTACTTTATGGATTTTTTTAATGTAAGGAATATTTTTACTTACACATGAAATGTAAGCTTAAAATAGTCTTGAATGCTGATATCCCTAAACATTTCGTTACAAATAATTCTATTATTATATATTACATACTTATATCCCTATATAAATACATTATTTTATTTGTCATAAATGTGAAGTTTTCCTAAAATACTATTTTCTCCTATTAAATGTACCTTAAAATTATTTTAAGAAAAGGTAAGAAGAAAAAAAGTTGATAATAGGAGTAAAGGAAAACATTAGCGAATCACACATTTATTTTCTAAGGACAGATGATGTTTGTGTAATACAGTAATATGCAGACTTAAAACAGAATGCAATTAAAAATAAACTAATATAAAATATTTGTTTTAATAATACATTCAACTTAAAATTTTTAAAAATGTAAGGATTTTCAAATTAAGAATAGAAAGTAGTTGGGGCTCAGAGTGGTTAAAGGTTGGGCTCTAGAGTTCGGGATTACTTGAGTTAAAATCCCAGATTGGCCATTTCCTGGCTGTGTAAAGACATGCAGAGTTGAGTGCTCAGTACTTGTAGATGGCAGTTCTATTGTCTGTTTTATCCATTGATATATCCTTACTTCCCAGCACCTAGTAGACACTTACTAAATATTGTTGTGTGAAGGAGTTAAAGTTTCGTCTGAGACCTACTGCATCTGAGAGTATCTAAGCGGAAGTAGTAAACGTATGAACTAGATCTTACTTTGTTACATTATCAGCTGCTGGAAGGGAATAATGGTACCTTTTTCCTGTTCTGCACATAACCTTGTAAATGTTAAATAAATGTAAATTGGCCAATTACTGGAGACTATATATAATGAGCCAACTTGTTTCCCACATTTGTGTCTGCTTAAGTGACAGAGAGGCTGCCATGAATATTTCATGGATTTACTTGTGTACATAGTCATAAAACTATCATCTCTTGCTTGCTACCATGAGAGAACTGGCTTCTTTCTGGATGAATCTGGTTGTTACTCTGGACCCCTACACATCCATGGAACCCCGTTGTTGGAGGCGGGTGTGAAGGATGGCCTGCAGGCCCGAGTCACCCCTTCCCATGCATCTGTGTTTTAGATCTCCCTTAAGACTTCTTGGAACAAAGATACCTCGTCTAATAGAAAAGTCTGGATTACACTGCTCTAGAGTTTCATATCTGTGCAAATAGCAAAAAGAAAAAGAATAAAAAAGAAAAATGAATGTGGTTGCTTAAAGAGTCACCTCCCCACCCTCACCTTCCCTCGTTTTACATCTGTCTTTAAAATCTATGAATGCTTCTTGGATAGGTGTTTTTTGTTTTAACTCATCAAGTTGAGACACTTTATTATTTGCATTCTCCTTTACTTCAGATGTTTTCATTTTAATTATCACATTCTGGTCTGGGTTGACAATAACTCCATCAGAAGAAAGTACTAAAATTTTAGTTCCTTACCGCTCCTCAGGGGTGTCTGATTAATGTAGTTCATTGGGGAATCTATTGGGATTAAGAAATGGAACAAAAAGCAGTTTTTATGAGGACATTTCAACAAGATCTGTTTTTAGTTTCCCTAATATTTACATGCTTTCCACAGGGGATGAGCAGGCCCTTGGCTCTCAGAGCCAGCGAGAATCTCTATGGCACCCATGAAGATTAAAGAGTGTTTTTTCATGTAAAGACAGAAGCCTAATATACAGCTAATCTTTATTAAATTGGGGGAAAAAAATCTGTAGCTATTTGATCTCCCAAATCTGTTTTACTGTGTCAAAGCATATGTTGTGTGCTCGTGTTTCTGGAGAATTCTCTTGTGGAACAGCAATCACCCTCAGGTACAATAAAAAGGATCCATAACCTAGAAAAAGGCCTCAGCACGGCTCGTACATTCAGGGAAATCAATTAGTTAGATTTGGGAAGAATACCAAAATGGTTACTTGAACATTATATTGATATCAAAAAAAAAAAACAAACCATGAAGGCGCTACTTAAGAAAAGTCAAAATATATCGTCGTTGGGGTATTTTCCCACATTACCCAGATGTACAAGATACGTAAACAGTTTTGATGAGGACCTTGTGAAGAATGCATAATGAGCCCTTGATTGAATCAGAATCATTTTAAACAGAAACCTGTTTTTCAAAGGATGAGCTTGAAGTTCAATTGTAATTCTATTTGAGCCTAGAGACTTGGTATTAAAAAATGGGTTATGACCTGCTTTTTTTTTTCCTTTCCCCAAAACATTTCCCTCCCCGCTGTAAGCTCAGCTTGGTAGCAGCAGAATATGTTTAAAAATCCATTATGTTTTTTATTGGCCGGGACACTAATGGGGAGCCCCGTGACAGCTCTATTTTACGGGCTGAATACTTTAATTAGGCTGGTTACTGATCACTTGTTGGGATATCGATTGTGTCATTCATCAAAGAGCTGGGGAAAATTTTTTTGTTGTTCCTGTTGTTGTTAAACCAGAGCACTTGACTATGCAGGGTAAGTCCTACCTCCCAGCCTGCCAGGGCTCTAGCTGCGATTCGGGGCTAGTCTGCACCCGAATGGTTGACTAACGGGACAGGGGCAAAGGGTAACACTGGGGGTGGAGAAGGTGTGATAAGCCTGGACAAAAAGTTCAAGAACTTTCAGCAGCTGAAAACATTTTAATTATGAATACTGCTTGCATTGAATGTTTTAAATATTTTGTTTAACTAGCGAGAGACTGAATTTTTGCAACTAAAGAGGAAAGTATAAATCAGATGCATTGTTTGGGCCAAATGCTCTTTTTCGGAAGGAAAGCGCTTTGGGGAGCAGATCTATGTTTTTTAACTACTTTAAAATCTGTTAGGAAGGCGCTTAATACGAGCGAGCGCACGGCCGGGTTCTCTGTGCCTCAGTCCTCGAGCAGGAACCAGACCTCCGCAGTCGGCCCTCTCCTCTTGGCTCTTCAGCACCTGTGGACTGTGGCTTGTGGGGGTGTTACTGTGGATATAGCAATTTTAAAGAAACTGTGAATTTTTTACAGATTGTCAAAAATCAAAATAGAAGGGGGAAGTATGGGGGAAAAAAAAGAGGAAAAAGAAATTGCAGGAGAGCCACTGTCGGGCGTGGTCACAGCAGCTTGTTTTAGCTCCTGGCCTAAAGGTCCGGTGTCTGCAGTGGGACACACTCATGGCATTTCAGTGGCAAACCTGCCTTGGTTCTGACTTGTCCTCGAGCATATGCACTCAATTGTCAAGGGGGAGAGAGAGAGGAACCAGCTGGTTGGCAGAGAAACCCCCTTAGCGTGAAGTGTAATCTTATGTTGACACTGCCACAAGCTGTACTCCCAGATGGAAGATTTGAAAGAAGCCAGTTGTAAGTGGCGGGAAAGAATAATAAAGTTAATCCTCTTTTGTGTTGGCTATCAGCACTCCTAATCCTTCACACCACAGTGTCAGTATTTTTTATCTCGTATTCAAAGATGTTTTAACTGATAGGGCCATTTTGATTTTCAACAGTTGAGGACTTAGGTGCAATAGATTCTTGAAAGATTATTCATGAATTCATCATTCTTTCACTTTGCTTCCATTGACCAAGTTGGGACATATTTAAAAAGCCAACGTAATGTTTATTTTCATCTTTTAGGAGCAGGCAGAGTGCGGGGCACTTTCTAAGCCATGCTTTGAGAACTGTCAAAACGCTACAACCACCTCCAGGAGAAATGATAACAGTGCACCGCATCCACTGGGCACTTACAGTCCACAAGACAGACCCAAAGGTAAGATTCCATCCGTTTTCATCTACTGCAAGTGGTGTCAGAAAACACGAGGGTGTTTGTTGGTTGGTTTGTTTGTTTCTAAAGGAACAAAGGGGAATTAATTAGACTAAGTGCAGACTTTGTTACTGTGAGTCATGAACACAGAAATGGGTGGGAGAGCTGACTCACAAGTTGTGAAGCAGATTCCTGGCATTGCCTCCAGTCTAAGTGACAGTTTCTTTGCTTGCTGCCCCAAACACGGAGGGTTATGTTTAAAACAAACCACGCCTGGAGAAACAAAATGGCAAACTGTTATTTTTTCAAACAGTCTGTTAATATTCGAAGTTACCAAGTGTAAATAACTGCTAACCTTACAAAATAGATGGTCTAGTATTAAACCATAAAATGGTCATAACACAGTTCACAGATTTATGCTTGCTTCCAAGTGCAGTAAACAACATGAACTGAGACCAAGATGTGATGGTTAGAATGTTCCCATACTGTCTCCCTACTTGGTCTTTCCTCGTTACCTTGTATGGATCACATTTTTGAGTAGAGTTCTACGTGTAAAAAAACGAGTTTTCTTCAAAAATTATACTTTAGGTCACCAACAAAGTCTTTATTTCCCCACATCTCCTTTCTTTGGTTACCTTCATTTTTTTTGGACTGCAAAAGCAATTGATAACCATTACAGAAAATTAAGAGAAAAGCAATAAAGAGAAAATTTAATGTTACTCGTATTTCTGTCTCTTAAAAATACTGATCAGTAACATTATGTATATAATTCAACTTTTTCCTTCATGTAAATATGTGCACATAAAATGAAATGAAAATGAAATATACTGGATATAATGTTTAAGAACTTTTTAAAAATTAATCGCACATTATGAACATCTTTCTGTGCCATCGAATGTTCTGCAGGCTCTCATTCAGCCGTCTGTTGAGAGGAGATGCTGTTTACATGCTCAATTCCTTGTTTACACTTATGAGGCCACCAAAATTTAGCTACATGGGAACAGTTTCTGAACTCTGAGACTTGTTAATCTGAGGTTCCTCTAGAATTAAATTGTTTCATCAGAATTTTTTCCTCTGAATTCCTCCATTTCAGTGAGAGGAGCAACAGCTGTGACCATTTATTAAATGTGGACTGTCTGTGAGATACTGTGTTAAGCAGTTTATACGCACACTCAGAGTGGGGAATATTATTCTCCTCATTTTACAGATGCAGAAATAGTCAGAGAGGAGGGTAAGTTACTAACCCAAGACCGTATGCTAATCACTGCAGAACCTGCAGACAGCCCCTGTCTCTCTGACTCAAGTTCATTCCCTAAACCACAGCGCCCTGTCTTACACTGGCCTCTTAAAACTGTTAAAGTCCTTTCATCTGATGCTAAGAATGTCCATTAGAAGCTGACCTGACTTTGTGTCAGATAAAGACACAGTCAGTATCAGGGAAAAAAAAAAGAAAGAAAGAAAGAAATAGTGTATCTTTTCTCATCTTAATAAAATAAAAAATGTTCTTGACAAAAGCAAGATCTCCTGAGCCCTTCAGTCACAATAGCAGGAGAACCTGGAGAAGGAACAAAAAGTTTTTTTCACACTAGAAGAGCCTTCTCTGGAACTTCAAGAGAACTAGTTAAAGGGTACACTTAGGAAAAAAAGTTTAAATAATAAAGTCCACTCAAGACACACGATAAAAATAAAATGCAGTGATACTTTGGAGCTTCAATAGAATGTTGAGAGTTTGTATTTCCACTGAAGAATTTGAGTCCTTTAGGCACAGAACCACTGGAAGTTCTGTCTCTCCCCTTTCTCCTAAGACATACATCTGTGATCCACAAGGTCCCTGACACTTCTTCCTCCCACCTTGATTTTCTAAGGCAACAACAAAAATCCAGTTCTTCTGATTTATATCTTAAAAAGCACTTTTTCATTTCTTTGTGGATCTGTGATACAATCTTCAGTTATAAGAATTAGGCCTATCCAAAATGTGAAACAACCCAAGTGTCCAATAACAGATGAATGGATAAACAAAATGTGGTATATCTGTACAATGGAATATTATTTAGCCAGGAAAAGAAGTTCTGATACATGCCACAACATGGATGAACTCTGAAAACATTATGTTTAGTCAAATTAGCCAGACACAGAAGGATAACCACTGTGTGACTCCCCTTATATGAAATATCTAAAAGAGGCAATTTCATAGAAACAGTAGATTAGAGGTTACCAGGGTCTGGGGGTGAGGAGAATGGGAAGCGACTGCTTAATGGTTATAGAGGTTCTGTCTGGGGTGATGAAAAATTTTAGAAATAAATAATAGTCGTATTTGCACGTTGTGAAAATAATTAATGCTCCTGAATTATATAAGTTGACAGTGGTTAAACTGACAAATTTTATGTGGTATTTAGTTTACAACAATAAAAAATAATTTCAAAAAGAAAAAAAGAATTAGTCCTATCAAAGCATAGATTTATTGCATTTTAATTGTAAGATGCCAATAGATGAAATGCTCTTATTTTTTAGTATAAACCTGTTGACTGAGAAACCCAAGATATATATAACTGAATTTATAAACATGATTCGGTAGAAGAATATCATGATCATCACCTCTTTGTGATGTTAATATCATCTTCAGTTTTGAGAACCACTGAGTGCTCCTGAGTTTCAGATGCACGTGAGGTGGCGATAGGTCACTGAGTGAGTGTGGTCTCCCCACCACCAAGTCTTTTTAAGGCGTCCCCTTAGAAAAACAAGATTAGTTTGACGAAATAGAATGTCTCATGAAGAGAGGAACTGTTACAGTCAAAACATTAACTTTTTTTTCTTCCCTTCTTCCTTTCCTTTGTATATTTAAAAATCCAATGTTGAGACACTGTGTTCCATCTATTTTTGTAATAATAGTACATACCACCCACGGTTCCACTGTTATTTTTTATATATATATACATATTCCTGTCAAACTGTTAGAGAGAAAAGGCATTTTTAGAACTAACGTTTGTAGAAATTGTTAACACCAGAAAATTCACATTCATGTGGGAGAATTGCTCCCAATGCCCTCAGTGGAGTGAGTGTGGTGCTCCAAGACAGTAACAAGGATGGAGGCTGTGTCCCAGCGGTTTACTATAAAATCCTATCAAGCATTTGAATGGTAATGAAGTGCACAAACACTGCATTTTCTGAAGAATCTTGCTGGCAGATCTCACCCTGGGCCACGTAATAGCCTAAACACAGTTTGCCTCTGGTTTGTTATTCCTTCTCTCTTCCTTGTTCTCATCTCCATTTGTGCTCTTCCCCTGCCTCCTCCCCCTTTTCAGTTCAGATGAACTCCAGCCCCTGCCTCAGTCACCCGTTGCCCCACATCTGCCCAGAACCACCCACTAAGATCTCCTCCAGGCCTTGCATCCTTCTCCCAAATCAAATGTTTTGGTTCTATGTCCTGTCCCACTAGATCATGTTCCCCAGGGTCCTCTGAAGAGACACATAATAGTGTAATTACTTGTAGTGTGTCTCCTCCCAGGAACCTGCATGTATCCACCCGTCTGTAGCATACAAGGCATTACCTCTGCAGTGGTGGTCAGAAATTGAATTATACTTTTCAGTTGACTGAAGTTTATTGGATACTTCTATTGTGCAGAATGCACTAGGCTGCAACGATGAATACAGTGCTGATATGATTCTCAAGAATCACATCCAAAAAACTAAAATACTTAGTAGTAAATCTGACCAAGGAAGTGAAACTTATTATACTCGAAGAACTGCAGTGCATTGACTGAGGAAATTAAAGATGACTTAATGAAATGGAAAGATATCCCATGATCTTGGATTGGAAGAATTAATATTGTTAAAATGGCCACACTACCCAAAGCAATCTACAGATTTAATGCGATCCTTATCAAATTACCCAGGACATTTTTCACAGAACTAGAACAAATAATCCTAAAATTTATGTGGAATCACAAAAGACCCAGAATTGCCAAAGTAATACTGAAGGAAAAGAGTGAAGCTGAAGGATTAACCCTCCCAGACATCACATAATACTACAGAGCTACAGTAATCAAAACAGCTTGATCTTGGTACAAAAACAGACATATGGATCAGTGGAACAGAATAGAAAGCCCAGAAATAAACCCACAGACTTCTGGTCACTGTTTGACAAAGGAGGCAAGAATATACAGTGGAGTAAAGACAGTCCCTTCAGCAAATGGTGTTGGGCAGCTGCATGTAAATCAACAAAGTCAGAATACTCCCTCACATCATACACAAAAATAAACTCAAAAGGACTTAAAGACTTAAACATAAGACAAGACACTATAAACCGCTTAGAAGAAAACATAGGCAAAACATTATCCGACATAAATCTCAGCTATGTTTTCCTAGGGCAGTCTACCCAGGCAATAGAAATAAAAGCAAAAATGAACAAATGGGACCTAATTAAACTTAGGAGCTTCTGCACAGCAAAAGAAACCACAAGCTAAACAAAAAGACAATTTACAGAATGGGAGAAACTATTTGCAAAAAAGGAGACTGAAAGTGCTTAATTTCCAAAATATATAAATAACTCATACAACTTAATAATTAAAAAGAAACATGCCCAGAAGACCTACAAGCAGTTCTCCAGTGAAGACATACAAATGACTATAGGCACATGAAAAAATGCTCAATATTGCTAATTATCAAAGAAATTCAAATCAAAACTACAATGAGGTATCACCTCACACCAGTCAAAATGGCCATCATTAAAACATTCACTAACAATAAATGGTGGAGGGGGTGTGGAGAAAAGGGAACTTCCTCCTATGCTGTTGATGGGAATGTAGTCTGGTGCAGATGTTATGGAAAACAGTATGGAGATTCCCAAAAAGCTAAAAATAGACTTAGTATATGATCCAACGATCCCACTTCTGGGCATATATCTAGAGGGAACTTTAATTTGAAAAGGTACATGCACCCCAATATTCATAGCAGCATTATTTACAGCAGCCAAGACACGGAAACAACCTAAATGTCCATCAACAGATAACTGGATGAAGAAGTTGTGGTATATTTATACAATGGAATACTACTCAGCCATAAAAAGAATAACATAATGCCATTTGCAGCAACAGGAATAGACCTGGCGATTGTCATTTTAAGTGAAATAAGCCAGAAAGAGAAAGAAAAAAACCATATGATATCACTTACATGTGGAATCTAAAAAAAAAAAAGACAGATGAACTTATTTATAAAACAGAAACAGACTCATAGACATAGAGAACAAACTTATGGTTACTAGGGGAGGAAGTGGGTAGGAAGGGATAAATTGGGAGTTTGAGATTTGCAGATACTAACTACTATATATAAAATAGATAAAAAAATTTATACTTATATACACAGGAAACTTTATTCAATATCTTGTAGTAACCTGTAATGAAAAGAATCCATCCATCCAGGGCCAGATCAGAAAAGGGTAGAAGGGCAATAGAGTTTGTGACTCTAGACTAAGGCTTATCAAGCTATGGCCCTGGCCCCAGACCAGCCTGCCAGCTGGCCTTGTGCATCAAGTTTCATTGAACACAGTCACACCCATTCATGTATGTACTGTCTGTGGTCACCTCTGCACTGTTGTGACAGCACTTGAAGAGTTGCAACAGAGATCCTGTAACCCACAAAGCATGAAATATTTACAATCTGGCCCTTTGCAGACAAAGTTGGCTGACTCCTGCTTTTAGACTGTACTTTTAATTTTTTTTAATTGAACTATAGTCAGTTTACAGTGCTGTGTCACTTTTTCATGTACAGCAGAGTGCTTCAGTCATACATGAACATACATATATTCATTTTCATTACAGGTTACTACAAGACTACAAAGTTGACTAATTTGCCCACGTTCATCCAGCATTAGGAACCATGATTAGAAACATGCAGCCTTGCTCCTCAAACCATACTCTTAACCAGGATGCTCTATAGTTTTTTCATACGTTAGTTAATATTTTCATTAATGATGAGCATTAAATGCTATAATGTATATAATGCTTAGCTCAATGTGTGGTACACAATAAGATCTCAACAGACTGTACTTGTTAACTAATTGTTGTAGTATTCAGTATGCATGTTTATTTTTTTCCATGTAGAATAGACTGAAAAAGCAAATATTTTTAGTAGGGAGGAAAGCCAGGATTCAGACCCCAGTCTTCTGCTTCCAAGGCCCCAAACCCAGGGTTTTCCACTACAACACAGATGCAAAGGAGTTGTTTTTTTTTTTTTAACCACGACGGTGTCTAATGGTGAGTGGATATACTGTCTTATCTCATGATTTTTTTAAGCATTTTTTGTCACTGAGGCAAATGCTTAAATCACCACCTAATCCAGAGCATTTATTATAGGGTCCTGTTTACAAAAATGCTAAGTCATAAAAGAAGTGGCGTGTTAATCTTCCACAGATCACAGGCAATGAACGTGCACCTTCCCTAGATGGGAAAAGGCAGTTAAGACACTGGGCTTCACTTGCCTGGGGTTGCCAGCTGGTCACCAGCATAAAAGCATACTAGCCGCTTGGTCTCCTCATTCAGGCTGGATTAGCTGTCGTTGAATCCTTCAGTTCTGTATGAGGACTTAATTCATTTCAGGGTTGGTTTCTGTGTTGGTGAAATTGCGTCTGAGAGATGGACTGAAACAGAACCAGGCACTGAACAGGTCTGCCTGCAGCTGACTACAGCTTCATTTGTTCTTTGTTTATAGAGCTCTTGCTTCCCAATGACAGATGGGCCGAGAGCAAAGCACCACCCTCTCCCCCACCAAATCCCGTTCTGGAATTGGGCCTTGAAGATTACAGCCACAGGTATCGATAAAATGATATATTGTAAATGTTCCCTGTTACGGTTTTTCTGGGAAAGCGCAGCAACCTTATTTTAACTCTGTTTCTTTCCAGAATGGAAATCTCATAGTATCTATAATTCCTTTCCAGTGAAAGCTTCTCATAGCTAATATTAATAGCTGAGATTGTTCGTATTTTTCTTCCTGGAATTTAAAATTCATCATATGTTATTAAAGTACTTAGGAAAATTGTTGTATTTGCTTTTACCATGTTAAAAACTGGAAAAGTGGAACTCAAAGAAGAGTCATTTGTTAAGATACAATACAAAATTGAGAAGACATAAGCTTCATTTTTTTTTTCATTTGTAGTTGGCAAACCCTTAAAGTATTTTTAAAATAGATATTCCAAGGAAGTTAATGGAATCTAAAAATTAAAGCACCACCATATATAATCTAAACTATTGAAACAAGTGCCCGATATTATATCCACTCTGTAATAGAAACCAAAAAATCAATAATTTTTAGAATCACACAAGCATGAGAGAGAGATTTACTAAGCATACACACCATTTGACTAGTAGAATTCATAGATTTTGTTCTTCTGATGAGTTTTAAAAATCATTAACTTGTCCCTTTGCTATTTTCTGTATTTATTATGCCTGTTAAAAACTGTATTTTATTCTGTTCTGTGTCTCATGATAATCCTGTGAAAATTTTTCATTTTTCTTGCCGTAATGCTTGTGTCATTCCTATTATGCTTTTTATTACAATTGTCTAAAAATAAAGCAGTATAACAAGAATATAGCTAACTCCTATCAGCTGGAAGCTTACCTGTGTTTAGCTGTCTCTGATTCTTACATTTTTGAAGTCAGCCATCTTACTCAAAGTACAGTTTCTTGAATTAGATTGATAATCACAATAATTTTCTAGATCAGTATCTCTAGAGGTTTCTTGAGTGAAAATCTGGACGCATTTAATTTTATTCATTCATTTCCATTGCCTGCCTCAATCCTGAATCAAACGTGACAGTTTGGTAGCATTAAAAAGCCCATTTTAAAAATAATTTCATTCATTCTACTTAACCGTTTATCCAAGGTATGTAAGGGAAACTGTTGGAAGACTGCAGAGATAAGTCAGATATAAACATGTGATACTGTATTTGTAATAAATATGTATTTAGTCTTAGTTCCATTTTTGGCACCAAGCCTCTAAAATCCTTGGAATTTCCTAAGTATCAAGGCTGATAAAGGTGACTTATGTTAATGAGGTGGCTTCTGGAGGCACCTAAGGAAGGGGACTGGTTGCCAATAGAGCCAACCTTGTGTTTAGTAGGTTGGAACTTTCAGGCTCACTCAGAGAGGTGAACATTGAATCAGTTGACAATAGCCAGTGATTTAATCAGTCATGCTATGTAATGAAGCCTTCGTAAAAACCCAGAAGGACAAGGTTCAACCCAGGTTGGTGTATATGTTGAGATGTGGGAGGGGGGCGCACTCAGAGAGAGCCTGGAGGCTCAGATCCCCTTCCCACATACTCTGCCCTATGCAGTTCTATATATGGCTGTTCCTGAGTTATATCCTTTATAATAAACCAGTGATCTAGTAACTAACATATTTCTTTGACTTCTGTGAGCTACTTTGGAAAATTAATCAGATCCCAGGAGAGGGGTCTTGGGGACCTCTGATTTATAGCCAGTTGGTCAGTACTACAGGTGACTACCTGGACTTGAGATTGGCATCTGAAGTTCAAGGAGGGGTCGTTGGAACCTCCAGTCTATAGCCGGTCAGTCTGAAGTACAGGTGACAACATGAGCTTGCAGATGGCTCTGAAGTGGAGCGTGGGGGGCTGTCTTGTAGGGCTGAGCTCTCAACCTGTGGGACCTGGTGCTCTCTCCAGGTAGAGTGGAGGTGTGGGGGAACCCCCACAACACATGTTAAAACTGGGTCCAGGAATCCAAAAGGAAACCCGACCCTCAAAAAGACGGTGGGCTACTAGGTAAAAGCGACAACTAGAACATAAGGTACCAAGTGACATTAGCCAGGAGGTGTAGATAAACTGCTCTGGACACCTGAGGCAGAGAGAGGAATGCTCCTAAGCAGAGGAAGCAGGGAACATGTTAAGGAAAAAGTAACACTTGAACTGAACCTTAAAATATGAGTAGAAGGGTGGACCTGAGAAGACCCAAGGAGGAAGAGAGTTTCAGAGAGAGGGAAGGGCAGAAGGCACAGATGAGATGGGAAAGTAAGTTGATTTGGGCAACTTGTATCCTGGCTGACTGGCCAGCTGATCAAGTCCAGAGTGCAGGGACAGAGAAGACAGACTGCATCTGGCAGATAGTAAAATCTTACAGTAGGGGATTCAGCAGATAAGGTCCGGGTTTTAGTTGTGTACAACATGGATCAGATAAATGGAGGAGAGTTAGTTCTGCTAGAAGCCAGAGACTCTGTGGATCCCTTTGGGGGCAGTTGCAGTAGAAGGTACTGAGGGCCTGTGCTGGGGAGGATGGGGAGAAACTTCCTGGTGAGAAATCTTCAGGGGACAAAGACAGTTCAGGGATATTTCAGAGAGAACAGTATTGAGAATTAGCAACTGCCTTTTTGGCTGCTTCAGGATCTCCACAGGTTTTTTTTCCCTTTTCTTTGCAGTAAAGCATCTTTCTCCATGATCTTGGGGAAAAGAAAAAAAAAAAAGCCTATACTGGCTCTCACTGCTGTAAATATCACATAGTGTGAACCAGTAACTTCCAGCTCCTTCTCACCCTCCTCCTCTCTAAACTACTGTGTTTAGACTCCATTCTCACCCTTGACTAGAACTGCTCTTTTCAACATCGACATATACTTTCAATCAAAAGTGTAACTTTTCTCAGGCTTGAGTCTCCTTTAGTCTTTTTTTTTGATTATTGCCATTCATTTGCTCACTTACCCATTCAGAAGTATTCATGGAACTCTTAGCTAGGCACTGTTGAAGGTACTTGAATGGATTGTAAAGGGTCCCTG